CCCAGCCAAAACCTCCAACGGATCGGGAAACAGGAGGAGGCGTCTTGGCGTCATCCACTATCTTCATGATTTCTTCAACGGTCTGGAGAGAGAACGTCGGGTTCTCTTTTCTGAAATATGCAGCTTGAGCTGTCTCTGTGAGTTCCCTTGGCAAGTTTTTCAGGAACCATGGGTGTTTCTTGATTTCTGCAATGGTAATCCTCTGCCAAAACAACAAGAAGCTCAAACAATCACCAAATGAAATCATATATTGAAAACATATTGCTCATTTGATTGATGTATATACCTTGAGTGAATTGGCGACAAATATACGGGAAAGGAGATGTTTGCAATCCTGTGAAATATGGACGTAGTCTGGGATCTTGTACTGAACAGCCATGATTTTCTGTATAACAAGATCACACATTGATCAGTAGGATGTAGCATACTTAGCTCGACATATGCAGACACATGGCTCAGAAGAAGAAACCTACTTGTATTGTTTTCCTGAAGTTTTTAGGGTCTTCTTGGTCTTCAAATGGGTATGCTCCAACCAGCATAACATAAAGCGTCACACCACAAGACCACACATCAGCCATCTGAAAGAGAGAAAAAATTACAAATCTTACCAACTTCCACTAAAATATGGGTCCAAATCAGGAAGAATGTAAAGAACATGACACTATGACAGTTTTGTAAAACCATTGGTTCAAATTGCATTGTGCATGATGCCTGATTTACCAAGACTCATTAGCGAGAAGATTACCTTGCCATCATACTCTCTGCGAGAAAGGACCTCAGGTGCAATATAGGCTGGAGTTCCAACTGTTGATTTGGGCCTAGAGTGCAACAGAGAGGACTACAAAAGAAAGAAAACAATCATTTGACAATGCTTTTAAGACGATGGGGAATAACATAAGAGGATCTCATAATACAAGGGCAGGACTTGGATATTTTAGTGCCAGACCTTGGAATAACCAAAATCACAGATCTTCAGGCGTGGAGCAGGACTTCCATCCAGGAGCGTATTCTCGAGCTTCAGATCTCTATGGCATATTTGCTGTGACAACATGGACACAAGGTGAGAACATGATTGATAAACAAACAAATTCCAAACAACTAAAGGATTAATAATTTCCTAACTCATAACTTTGCCTTACCATAGCATGGCAATAGCTAACACCTGATATAAGCTGTTGGAAGAAGTATCTCGCCTAGACATGAAAAAAAGGATTAGAAAGCATAAACCACTTGTTTGATATGCGATAGCAAGTAAGAGAAGATTGCGTGTTTTCTCTTCTTCCCTTCCTCCTAAACTATCCAAAGACGCAAAGACTATACAAATCTCTGAAAATGATCCAAAATAGTACTTGCATATTATCAAAAGAACGCCACAATGTCAGATGCCAAACTCACCTCATCCTCACTGAATCTTCCAGCACTACATATACGCTCGAATAGTTCACCACCAGCCGCATATTCCATGGCAATGGCAAGATGGGTTGGAGTCAACACCACCTGTATATATCCCAAGCATGGAAGATGAAAGGCTATGAAGTTAGTAAATTACCAACTTCAATAAAACCTTTTTTTGGTTAGAGTTTCACTAACCTCCTTAAACCGGATAATGTTAGGATGACGAAGCGATCTGTGATTTATGATCTCTCTTGCCACGTTCTCATCAATCTACATCCAAAAACAACAATAAAGCCATAAATCAATCAACAATCTCGTGAAGAAAACAACACAACTCCGAAAAAAACTAGCACTTTGGTGAACACAATGAGCAAAAGATTTCAAATATCTAGATGAACAAAACAAAATTCGCCCTTCTCCTCAAAACTAGGCCTGAATGGTGGTTTTCTTATTTTGCTTATCTGGGTTATAGGAAATGAGAGAAATTGAAAAGTAAACCACACAGATAAGAGACGGACCTTTGGACCACGCTCGATGTACTTCATGGCAACAAGTTCCTTAGAGTTTTTGACCTTCATGAGCCTGGCGACTCCAAAATTCCCAGCACCTATGTCTTTCACCAGCTCGTACTTCTCCATATCGATAAACCTAATTCCACACACACACAAACAAGAAGAAAAACCCTAAAATTCAACTCTAGTTCAAGCCCTAGCAGCTAGGAAAAAAACCAGAACAATTTCACGTGAAATCCTAAACAAGACC